TCAACAAGCAGGCGACAACTTTAACGTGACTAACTGCTTTCTTAAAAAATAAAAAAAAAATAAAAAAAAAATAAAAAAGCAATCGTATTGGCATGCAACGCTGCACACAAATACACACAAACAAATATGTTTAAGAAACACAACGAAAAAGTGCAAAATGCACAAAGTAATGGCTACATGTTGCCAATCGTCATGTTGCACGAAGTAAATGTTCAATGCCAACCGTATTCGACTATTGAATGTCGATTTTTGGGACTTTCTTTTTGTTTTCCAAATAGATCAAATGTAGATACGTTTACATTTATTTGCAGATTTTGGTATACATACATACATATGAGCATATATGTACATATGTATATATGCATGTATTTAAATGCAAGTGTTGCAATCAGCTCTTCTTTGTTTTCTTTCCTATTTTTTGTTGCCTTTGTACTGCCTTTTAGCTGCCGATATTTTTGTTGCGCCGATTTGTTTGACCTGAATTTGGGAAATGTTTGCAAATCGATGATCGAAAATTCAAAATGTGAAAGGCAAATGTGTTGCACACATCATGTTAGAGCATTGTATGTGTGTGTGTGCAAAGTGAATGCTAAGAACCTATGACCATAGCATTTTTTGTTTAAATTAAAAGCTATGAGCCAACTTAAAGCTTAGTTTGATGTATCATTAGCGATTCAATCAGAAATCTTGAAAGTAATACAAAGTCTATATAGAATTTGCATCAGCAGCTCCTTTTTTGGGAGTAGGTAGCCTACTGTGACGGTGACGATTATCAAAAGATTTGGTTAAATTTCAATGACTCTACATTGCCTTTCTCTCGCGGAAGCCTCTCTAACACACGACCACACTTTTGCTAAACACTTAAAATTTGCAGCTTTTTCTTACAGCCTTTTCAGCACTTATTGCCACTCAACTCNACACACTACACGTGCGGTAGACCGCATCCCTTTGCTGTGGCCCATCTTAGATGTGCACGCCCATTGTACGACCGGAACTCTGTGAGCTACCGCCCGTCGCCGATGACTGCGTCGTAATGCTGCGCGGACTGGGGCACGGCGGTGGCGGCAGCTGTTGCTGTTGTATGCTACTGGGTTGCGCGCCCACTCCCGTCGCTGTGGGCAGTAGCTGCTGCGTCTGCGGTGGCAATTGCGCGCACTGTCCTGGCGCACCCATTAGCATTGCCGTTTGCTGCTGTTGATGTTGTTGTTGTGCCGCCGCGGCAGCCGAGTTGTTTCGATTGTGATTCTGCCGGCTGCCGTTGATGTTGTGATGCATTTGTGAGCGAAAGCTGGCGTGCTGCAGCTGATGGTGTTGCAGCGCCGCTTGCGGGTGCATGTGATGCAGGTGATGGCTGCCGGCGCCAATGTTGCTGCCAACGCCACTACTGCCGACCTGCCGAGAGCATATGATGCTGATGGTGATGATGTGTGGGTGGCAGCTGGGCGATGGGCATATGTACGCCTACGCCGGTGCAGCCAGCGACACCAGCCACCTGCGTTGCGCATGCGCCGTTGATTGTTGGGACATCGGGCAGCGCGAAACGGCAGTTTTCCCAGAATCAGTTTGTCGCCCCACTGTAGGTATGTATTGGTTTTCAGATAGAGACGCAGCTCAGGATCGATGTCCTTTTGTGGCACTTCGCCAAGCACGATTAGGATGAGACGTCGCCGTCGATCACGCAGCACAGACTGATGCGCCGATTTGAACTCGAAACGGCACCACTCTGACTTGATGAAATTCTCGGAAAGCACCATAATGGTACGTCGTGAGGTGTCTATTGCTTGTACGATGGCATCGGCCATGTAGCCGCCCACCGGAAAGTCGCGATGATGTAGACATAGCTTGTAACGCGTGTCGCCCTGTTCTAGCATGGGCGCAAGATCTTCACAAACAAATGCCTCGTCTTTGGAGCTGTACGAGATGAAGGCGTCAAAGAGTTTTTCCCGTTCGTTCTTATCGATATCGCGATTGGCATTGCAGAAGAGCCGTATGCCGAAGCGTGAGTGACACCAGACGCGCATTTCTTGGCGAAAGATGAACACGAGCAGCGTGCAAATGATCACGAAGACAAAGCTGGTCAGTATGGCTACAAGTATGGGACATACTCGTGCATAGGCGGCTGCGAGAGTATCATTTTCGTGGATGTCATGTTGCCGTTGATGATACGTTGTCGTTGGGGTCTGCGCCATGACCGATGCCACCGTTGTACTGTCCAGCGCCGAGCGGCGATTGCTGCTGTGGTGCCTGCAGGCCACCATTACAAGCGACGAAGTGGGTTTGTGCATCCAGCAGCTGGATCGCCGCTGAGATAGATGCTAGCTGCTCGGGGCCAGGTGCTGCGCCAGCAGAGCGCTGTTATTACTGCCAGCCAAAGTACCATTATTGCCAGCGTAAGTAGTGAGCAACGCAGCTTCACCTTATCCTGCACTGCCTCGTGTCGGTTAACGTAATCTCGCAGCTTGTCGATAAAGTCACAATGCAAGACCAAGGATTACCAGCTAGGCGCAGCTCATTCAGATAGGAAGGCAGAAAATTCCAAACGGCAAACTCTGTGATGCGTTGTGATCGAGACGCAAAATCTTCAGGTGATAGAGGTGGGTGAAGGTGAGCGTGTCAATGCTGGCTATGGCATTGTGCTGTAAGTACAATTCCTGCAAATTATCCAGTCCTTGGAACTCATTACCATTCAGCTGGCGCAGGTTATTGTGGTTCAACTGCAGCACTTCGAGTTCTAGCAAGCCGTAGAAGGTGCGATTGTGCACAATTTCGATACGCGAGTGATTTAGATGCAGCACCTTAAGCCGTTTGCGTCCAATAAATGCGTGGCTTGAGAGTTCGCGGAAGTTGTTGCCGTCCAAGTAGAGCTGTGTCGCATCCATTGGTATATGCGATGGCAGTGTGCGGTCGTAGGCGGAACGCGAGCAGTCGACGACATTCGATGTCCACGATTGGTCGTGGTAGCAAGCGCAGCGATCCGGGCACTCCATTTTGCAGTCGCATGCATAGAAGTCACAACAGTGGCATAGCGCAAAACAGTGCGCCTCGTATTTGCAGAGGAACTCATTTGACTTGGCCTCGATGAGCGGCACGTGCGTCTTACCGCGCGCATACGACAACTTGCAGTAGATCTGATCGAGATCCATGAGTTGCGGTTGCGTGCGTGACTCGGTGTTGACCTTCTGCAGCCAATCTAGATTGCAGTCACACTGGAATGGATTGTGGCCAATGTAGAACTCGGGTATGTCCTTGTCGTCGGGTATGGGCGAGAGCCGCAGAGCATTTGGCTCCAGCGTCGTGAGCCGATTGCGTATGAGGTCGACGCGCGTCAGATTGGGTTTCTTGAAGAACGTGTACGGTTGTATTTTGCTGATCATGTTATCGTTCAAGTACAACACTTCCACGCTATTCGGTATTGAGCTGGCTGTGATCTCACTAAGCATATTCGAACTGGCATCAAAGGTGCTCAGGCTCAGTTCATTTTCGATTTCGAAGTAGTTTCCTAGCTGCGTGATGCGGTTGGCACGCACATCCAGCCATTGTAAACCGGTCGGTATGTGCGAGTAGTCGAACTTCTCCAGACGATTATCCGAAATGTTAAGCCACACCAAATTTGGCAACTCAGTGAACAAGCCATCGATGCTTTTCAGATGGTTGCCATCCAGCCGTATGGCCTGCAGCTGTGTGTTGCGATGCAGTGCACCGCCTTCGATGCTTTTGATTTTGTTGCCGGACAAATTCAGTATCTGCAGCGATGTCATGCGATCGAACACGCCGCGCCGTATGTACTCAATGGCATTTTCGGTCAGTCGCAAGCCGTACAAGTTGCTCATCGCCGAAACGCTGGTATTTTCAATGTTCGTAATTAAATTCTCGCCAATGTCCAATGTCTTCAGGAGCGGCACAGCGCTAAGTGCGTCCGGTATGGTCTGCAGCTTATTGCCATTCAAATGCAAATCCTGTATGCTAGAGCAATTGCGCAGCGCTTGCGTGTCTATCTTGGCGATGCGATTGTAGTCGAGACTGAGCACAAGTATGCCGTAGAGGCCACGCAGCGTGTGCGGGCCGATAGTGGAAATGCGATTGTTCGAAAGAATTAGCGTGTGTAAGTTGGCCAGATCGGCGAATGCACCGTCCGGTATGTGATCAATGTAGTTCTCCTCTAACTTGAGTATCTGTAGCGAACTAAGTGAACGGAAAATGCTGGCTTCCAGTTTGCTTATCTTATTTGCAGACAAATCAAGCAGCACCAACCGCTTCAAGCCGACAAAGGTGGCAGCGTTTACCCACTGTGAATTCAGCTCGTTCGCCGACATATCCAACACCAGCAAATCGGCAAGATCGCTAAATAAACCTGGCGCAAGCACATTAATACTGTTATTCTTCAGATAGATCTCCTTCACATACTTGGCTTCGGCGAAGAGCTCAGGTGGCAGTGAAGTCAAACGATTGCCGGAGAGGTCAACAACGGAAAGTGATACCAGTCCCTCGAATGCGCGATCTGCAATAAAATTCATGCTGTTGCGCGCCAAATTCAGGTTGCTCAACCGACCCAAGCCAGAAAAGATCGCCGATGGCAGGTTGGCAATCTTATTGGCGCTCAGATCGAGATGTGTCAGCGATGAGCCGCATATGCGCGACTTGCGCGTACTAAGCGAGGCACTAAAATGAAAATTTCCAATATCCTGTATCTCGTTGTGTGAGATATTCAGATGCGTCAGCACCTTCAGTGGACACACCATGCCATCTGGTATGAGCCAAATATTATTTAAGCTCAAATCTAAGCGATCTAGTTGACGAAATTCACTAAAGCTGCTGCTGGCAATGTCCAGCGACATGGTGGACCAGTCACCGTTGTGCGTGCGTATCGTTAGATTACGCAAATCCTGCAGACCACGGAACGAGCCCTCTGTGATGTTGCCTAGCTTACAGTATTCGATGGTGAGTGCGCGCAGCTCCACCAACGAGCGGAACGAGTCCGGGCTGAGGCTGCTCTGGAAGAACAGTGCATCGTTGCACTCTAGCCGCAAGCGTATCGTATTCTGCGGCTGTATGACGCTGAAGTTGGTGTTCTCCAGCTCGGAGTTGATGGTGCGCAGGTGACAGACGAGCGTGATGTCCACCTCGCTGGTGCCGGACCAGCGGCACTCGTCGGGCGCCTGATAGAGTACTGTTTTGCTAAGCGCCGCGCCGAGCACAGGTATTATGACGAATATGAGGACGGAGAGGATCGTCTTGGAGATTAGCGTCATTTTCGTTGACATTGCGTGGTGTTTTTTTTTGTTGGTTTTGGAATTTTAGTTTGGTCGTTTCAGTGGTAAATTTTTTTTTAACTTTTCAATAAATACGCCGATTTGTGCTTTTTTGATATTTTGCACAATTGCATAAAACACAAGCACACTCACTCACTAGCGAAATCGCACACGCTTCAAGGTGTTGCTGATCTTCCAAAATGTTATTTCTTTAATTTGCGCATTTTTTTTTAATTTATGCGTTTATTGCTGTTTTAAATTTTTTTAGTACCAATTTTGTGCCACTACACCATTTTGCGTTTTTCAATTTTTCTGTTTTCGTTTGTTCGTAAACTTTTTGCTTGCAGTAAGTTCAGCGAGACGCGCAACCGGAAACCCGTAATCCAAGTGGTGTCTGCGGCGTACGAAACCGAATCGTAAACGTTTAAATTAATTCGTTGAGTTGGTCAAAAATTTGTCAAAACACATTTGCCTTTCATATATTTTGAGTAGAGCTTATTTCGGTTTATCTTTCTTTCTTATTAGCTTAGTTCAGCACTGGCACTTTCCTTATTTACTTTTTTTCGTTTGCACTTCAAATATATGTAAATATATACATATACTCTTTTTTTTATTCAGATCTTGAAGTTCTTCCGACATGCACAGCGAACAAGTGCGATCATCACGAACTCTACTCACAAACTGATTACTCAAAGTGCATGCAGTCGATTAACTACTAAAAGTAAATGCCCCAAAGTGTTGGCCGGAGTAGCTAGAGCGTGGATGAGACACCACATGAAATGCATTGCCAAATAGAGTGAAGTCGAGTGAAGTGATGAGAACGAACGCATGGCACTAGCTCCGTGTGCTGGAGAGTCATTAAACCAGCTGGGCTTATGTGTTTGAGTAGGAGAAGCCGCTGCAGTTTACCTCAAGCGTATGCAGGTATATCGAGTGGTGGTAAGAAAGAGCAAGCGCGTCAGCGTTGGTGGTTGATCGATGGCTCTGGCATTGTGTTAACTATGAAATCTGGGGATGCTCACCATTGCTACTGTGCCCGATTGCTTAATGCTCACATAACTTTTAACTGCCTTTGGCTTTGACTTTGAGCTCGCATATGGTGCTCAAAACCAGTCTTGAGTCAGCATATAAATTTGAGAGGCAATCAAAAGTTAATCATGCTGTTTTTATGATTCCAAGTGAGCGATGGCCAGACAGTAGAGAATTGCTTGTATGCAATATGTATGCATGTTCGTTTTTATATGTTCTGTGGATGTGTCTGGCAGGTATTTTGGTGTGGCTGTGTGCTGTTTCTAAGAACACTCCAGCATATCTCTGAGTTCTCCAAATAGAGGGAAACTAGATTTCAGTAATTCAATGAAAAAAGATGTTGTTTAAGTTTTCTCAGAGTTGATCGGAGTTAAGATGCATGCTTAAGCAATATTTTGATAATAATTGTTAAAAAAAAACTTTGATTAAAATGACATATATATTAAAATTTAAATACTTAGGTAGCAGTTCTTTGAGCGGAACTACAAAAACAACAAGAGCTAAACAACACTCAGGCTAAGTTCATACCGTTACCAACATTTCCAAGTATAATTTGTAATTTATAGGGGTGTATCTGAGAAACAACTAATGGATTTTTTAAAAAAGAGAAAAAAGTTATCAAATAGGGTATTTTGCATTGGTGATGACGAAATCGGTTTAAAATTTATCCGATATACCAATAAACCGGTGTAAAGTCTAGAGTTATTCAGAGCGAAGATGTTCGTCTTCCAAAAAGGTGTTATACAGCTCATTTTCCTTAAGCCAACAAGTACTACCTACTCAATTGGAGCCTCGCTTGACCTTCTGATATTGCGGACGAATGATTTTGCCCATTTGAAAGAACTTTATGTCTTTCTGTGAAATGCGAAAATGGAGAAGCTATTGCCTAATCGCAGGCCAGCGAATACTTCGTCCGAATCCTTTTAAGGCAAGTGGTCAGATGTGCCATTCCTAAGCACAGTTTTCGAATCAAGTCATCACCTGACATCAGGAGACTCAAAATTTTAATATCTAATTGGCTAAAGAAGTGGTTTCATACTATAATCCTTAAGCAGGGATCACTCGATTTGTACATTCGTACAGATTTGTACATTTTCACAGTTACAGAGTGGTGCTGTTTGGTTTTTATGTAGGTCTACCACCTCCAAAGCTATAAAACTCTGCAAAAGTCTGCTACTTTGAGGTAACTTAGTTGGCGAGCATAATACGAAGAGGTTCATACGTCTGATCGAATGATCTATTCCGCTTTTGCGACTCGAATATAGAGAAACCAAGGCACATTTTCTTTGAGTCTAACATCGTCTGCACAGTATGAGCACATTAAATTCTTACCACCGAAGCCTTTTTAACTCTCGTAGGGATTGAGACAAAGAAAAAGAATTTTGAAGAGTTGAGGAGACGAATGATCTCTAGGACGCTGTGCACACCTCTTACTAATAATATATATATAGAGTACGGCACTACTGTGGCTCAGTAGAGCCTTTACAAGGTCGAAGGTGGAGTGTACTTGGAACAAATAGGAGTACAAAAGTCATTCCGCCTCCGGGAACAAAGCAGCGTCTTTCTGGCTGAACGAGCATGGCAATTTTTTTCTTGAGAGTTGCATACTGGCTTACTACTCGCAAACTATAGTGAGTTTCCGTAGATCACTTTACCTTGATGGCAGAGCAGTTCAATCTTCACCTGGTATGGGTGCCGGGATACAGAGGTATACCAGGCAATGAGATCTGGGATAAGCTTGCAAGGAAGGTCACTACCCTTCCACTTTCGCCGACTTGGAAGAGCTTGGGCATTCCGCTCGCACCTACAAGCTCAATACATACCTATACAGGTTTTATTCTTCTACGAAGCAGGCGAATGATATAAACAGCTAGAAACCTGCAATGCGGCAAAGCTTATGTGGCCGGATTGGGATGTGAAAAGATCAAGGCAACTGCTTATACTAAGTAGAGGATAAATCTATTAAGCTACGTGTCTGCTGACCGGTCAGATAACACGCGGAGAGACTCCGTAATCAGTAAGGGACCTACTTTGAGAATGTCCCGCACTGGAAAGGAGATCTCTTGTGGTACCAAAACGATCCCAATGATGGGCCTAAGTATGCTGTCAGCAGAAGTAGTACTATTCACAGAAGTGGTCACATTTTCCGTCCAGAGTTGGTGCTGTTAGTCGTTATCTTACTGAAATTTCATACTGTATCTTGGAAGGGGTACAGCGGCACAGCCTCATGACCAGCTTGAAGCATATTTTAATTTGCAGGGTATCACTTTAATATTGGCTTTGCTCTTCATTTTCGATGGGACAACATCAATGCGCCAGGCTTTTACTCTTACCACTATAGGTCTGCTATTCAATAAATTTTTATAGAAGTCAATGGAATTTAATAAGAAATTTATTACGCAAAGCAATATCAACAAATACTCTCACACTAACCTGCAGGCCCAACTAAACCATATTGCTGAATTAAAATACAGATCGTGCTCATTGAGCAGTCTACACTAGACTCAGTCACAATAGCAATCTTACACATTCTTTTTAGCCTATGAGTAGCTGCGAGAACAACGGAAATGAGCGACAATCTTATACCTACATTTGTTTGTATGCAACTCTAATGCAATCAAAGTAGTGATATAATAAAAATCACAAAAAATAGTGGCTAGGCATACCTCCACAGCAGCCACAATAACAATAACCATGCAGCGGCAATAAAAGTGCAACGAAATGCAGTCGACGGTAGAAGGCATTGACACAAGTCCCACCGGTTGGACGAGTTTTTTATACGTTGAGATAACTTTTTTGCTGCATTTCAAGCCAATGAGTAAATCTGCGAGAGGAAAAATTTAATGGCGTTGAGTAAATTGAAAGTAGATCGAGTTTGGAGAGTGTTAGCTTAATGAGTGTTAGATAAATGAGAGTTAGATGGTCGAGTGTTAAATTATTGACAGTTAGATGGTTGTGAGTTAGATATTTGCCTGTTAGGTCGTTGAGAGATACGAACCGACACTCAGAGCATAATTTTTTTGCAAAATAGATATTTGAGTCTATTTTATGAGTTGTTTTTTTATAGCTGAGTCAATAATAAAAAATTAAAAAAAAAACATATTTTGAGTGAATCAAGAAAGTGAGAACACTAAAATGAGTGAGATAACCGAAAAACTTAGCAATAAAAATTGTCACTCACTTGACTGTTGAGCAGCCAATTGTTCTCTTACTCAAGGCTAGCAGCGGCATTCGACTTAACTAAAACCGCAGCCTTCTCAATTTTTAAATATGAACTCATACTCCGCTCTTTGACTGAGTGCAATCAGTGTTTGCTGATCATTGCGAAATATTCATAGTATTTATAAAAAATTTCTTTGTAAGATTTTATTTCACCCATTTCTGTTGAGTTGCAATGCAAATGTATTCGCTTAGAAGTGATTGCCAACGCAGCTGTTCTTGTACTAAAAATTCGAGCAAAATTATGCAGTTGTTTTATTATTACGCACACACGTTAAATGTTTATGATATTTGTAGTTTGGTTTGTGTGGTAAATATTTTGAGTAGCTTTTCTGCTTTTCTGCTTGTGGTGTTTTTGGATTATTTGAACGCTTTCAAAATAAACAAATCAGATGTTTCCAAAATTGTGTGATTATAAATTATACACGCCCACAGGCATACATACATATCTATGGATGTATGTATATATGTACATACATATATGTACAGATACATACTGTATATACTGCTTATATTGTATCTCTCTGTAATCACTTCCACAATGCTGAATTGTGTAGGTAATTACAAAATCTTTTAAATTTACTAGACATCTAAAAGAAAAAATCTGACCTAATTCAATTGGTCTGTTTAGGTTATTTATTTATTTTTGGCAATGCATTTGATTGATTGATAATTTTATGTTCGGTATTTTGTGGTTGAAGCTAGTCATAAATTATTTTTTTGGCTGCCGATGAAACAATTTCTACACAAACATATTCAGATTCTTGAAACGCTTGCTTATTAAATAAAATCCTAGGTAATTTTTAGTAGTGCTATTTAATTGCTGTATAAATTATATTTGGCATTCAGTAATTAATAAAATGCGCGATATGAAGAAGAAAGTGAATTTATGGGCAATAAAATAAATTCGGAAAAATATTTTTTGTAAAATTTATTGGATAAAATAATTCAACGCATACATACATATCGTCGCCCGTATGCCAGAAACATGAATGTGTAAAAAATGAAAATTTTGGGAAATCAAGTTTGCATGTTTGCATTTTTAGGAGGCTTAACTCTACAATTATGCAATTGTAACTTTAAAATATGTGGTTTCCGTTTACGCATGGTATTCTGGGTGTTGGCATAACATAGCACATCCAAAGGTCAATCAAGTCAACCCAATAATTCAAAACTGATAAATTTGCACATTCAAGCTTCTGGCATAAGGGTGACGATATGTATGTATGTATGTAACGGGTGATTTTTTAAGAGCTTGATACCTTTTTTTTTAAAAAAAACGCATAAAATTTGCAAAATCTCATCGGTTCTTTATTTGAAACGTTAGATTGGTCCATGACATTTACTTTTTGAAGATAATTTCATTTAAATGTTGAATGAGAAGTATGAAAACTTGTAGATTATTGATAAAAATTTTAT